AATGTGATGTTCGGGTTGGGTCGGGTTTAGGGTGAAAAATACCCGACCTGACCCGAAAAATATAATTTTTATCTTATATATTTAAAAATAATTACAATAATACCCCTCTATATATTATTTTTTTTCCTAATTAAGTCACTGTTTTATTGAATAAAAATAATATTTTTTATTATTTTAGGTCGGGTCGGATTTTTAAGTTATATATCGGGTCGGGATCAGGTCAGATGAAATCTTGTTTTATGCGGGTAGAGTCGGATCTCGGGTGGAGGAGTCATTATTCTCGGGTCGGGTGGACCAAAATTCCGACCCAACCCTACCCATGCCCATTCCTATTCTTGCTTGCCCTTTATAACGACAAATTTCTTGCAGGTTTTGACAAGCAGGTAAGAGATGTGATGACCCATCCCATGCATCAATGCATGTGGGTCCATCTTTTTTATTTATTTGAAACTCCTCTGAACATGCATGTTTGTTTACATACATAGGAGACCTGAAATTAATATGGTCATAGATTTTGGACATAGATTGGGATCTTCATTAACTCAGAAGGGGCGGGGAATAACACTTGCCTTTTTAAAAACCTAATGACCTTTTTGCTTTATTTTGTGTGGATCCAATGATTGTTCCCTTTGGGTCTTTCTTCCTCGGTCAGTTCTTTGTCCTTGTAGGGTTAATTAGATTGAAAAAATATATACAAAGGTTGGGACACTATCACCCACTATGGGACTCGAGCAAGTGGTTGATGTCCCTCAAAAAGTAAATGTGCTCTTAAGTGACCATAAAAAAATGTGAGTGGTCATGTTCATAAAGGTTAAGGGAGTTTAGTTTAGTTTCGTTTTTCTCCTCCTATTCAAAACAACCTCATTGGAAAGTTTATTTATTCAATTGTATCCTTATATAATCTTTTGTAGACATAGTATTCAATTGTTGATTGGATGCGTTTTTATCGTCCATGACAACTCTAATAAGTATATGAAAATATTTAATTTTGAAAAGTTTAAGCGTGGTTCTTTTGACACATTTTTATTGAGTTTGAAATAAACATAAACAACGTCTTATGTATTTGTGTTTAATTTGAAATAAATGAAAAGTGTGCCTTATCTCACTTGTTGCATTGGACAAAAAAAAACATGAAAAGAAAATTTACTTAACGCATGTTTGGTTACATTAAATCCAGAAGAGAATAAATCGTTTCAAACTGCTAAAAGATCAATTGAAACTCAAAAATAGTTAAATGGATGTTGAGAAAATATTTTCTCAAAGAATAATTTTAAATTCGATTCGGGATCAAAACAGGTGTAATATCAAAAATATTCAAAGGTGGGAGCAAAGTCTAGCCACGATTCCCATTTTTCGAAACATAATCGAAACAATCAAAAATTCATCTTCGAACGAAACAAAAAGTTTATTTTATCTTCGAACAAAAATATCATTAGAGCACAAAGATTATACGTAAAAGAATATGAATGACATTTATGTGTGAGCTTAAAATTTCGAGATTATATGACGTGTCACAAACCCTACTTAAATATAAACGAATCTATCCTTTAATCACTTCGTTCGTGCATATCCAATTGGTCAAAATACAGAACATGTACAAATTTTGACGTAATGCCACTCCACTGATGATGGATGAAACATGTGAGGTTGCATCCAAATTCTAATTGGTTCAAAGCATTGATGGGAGCCGCTCACGTTGTGGCACGTTTGGGACCACGTGGGCAATTTCGTGGCTTTCTTGTCCAATCAAACATTGTAAATAGTGCGGTTGATTAATAATCAACTGTCTTCTTAACAATGGATTGTTGCGGTAATTGCTTACATAAAATAACACTTTATTTTCCTTTCCTTTGTTGATTAAAGGGATGTCCATAATATCATTTAAGATTGCCAGAATCAATGTCTGCCCCACCTTAGTTAAAATATTACGAGTAAAAATTATTAAGTTATTTAATTGCTATTATAAAATACAAGAATGATGTCATTTTTCAAATTACAATCTCTTTACATAAAGAACCAAAGATATTGGGGCCCTGAGTGTTGGTGTTAGACTCCATTAAGCTTGTAATCATCTTTTTCCAAACTAATTCTTTTAAAAAAGACCCAAAATGTGAGTTAGCTTTTCAAGTTGAAAACCCCTTTTATGGACATTTTCAAAGCAAAATCCCAAATAATGTGAATGTGACTCACAACTAGAACCCCTCCGAGTATTCCAAGTGACACTACTCTTTTTATAAAATATTAAAGGTGGGGAGGTTGGGTGGGTTAGCTTTTAAGTCATGTCATGTGATCAACTCACCCTCTCCATCTAATTGAATTAATCAATTCAAATCTATATTTTATTACAAATCTAACGTGGACCTCAACTTAGGTAATCACACTAGTCACTAAACAAATTTTGGATTATGATAAAAATATGTTAGGTTACTAATTGAAATATATATAGATTTAGATTAGAATAATTAAACTAATTACTAGAATCATACATATTATTTACACGTGATAAGATTTAAATCTGAACATTCATAGATGTAAGACATCGATCTTGTCAACATAACGAAGTTCTTAAGAGGTTTAAATTTTTAATTTTATTTTTATTTTATAATAGATATCATCTTATTCATGTAATTTGTTTTTGAATTGTTTAAGATGATTACAAAGTATTATCTGTTCAGAATTCTTCTTAGACACTGACAATACCCACACACGCAACTACTTGAACCCATGACTTTTGGGGAGAACAATACTCCCTTTTATCTTATTCACGTAATTTTTAAATTTTAGAAAGTTCACTTGAAAAATGGATCTAAGTGATTTCTCTTACATGAAAACACTAGCTAGTATTAAGTTGTATGAGGAGTTAGGAGGAGAGAGAGAAGGAAGTTTGGGTGAATCAATGAGACAAAACAAACATGCTTTGGTTGGTAGCTAATGAAGCAAGACACCTAGATGCATGCACAACCCACCTAGATGCATGCACAACCCACCCCACATTTCACCTCCAGATTCTCAGTTTGGATTTGGGAGGGAACATATGCTCATGCCATCACTTAAACATACAAACATAGGCACAAGATTTTATGTTAGAATGAATTTATAAGATAGATGCAAAATTGTATATGTACAAGTGGATTTGTAAAGTTTTAATAAAAAAAACGAACTTATCAACTTTGAGGAGGATGAAATTAGATTTTCAATCAAAAATAAAAAGATTGTCAATTTATTTTTGGATTATTTGATGAGATTAACAATAAAAAAATTAAGAGAAAAAATTAATTATCGTTAAAATTAAAGTTTTTAATCTTAACTATTGAATTTAATTAATTAATAATTTAAAAAAATAAATAAAACTTAAAAATTATATTGTGTAGGTGATCCTAACCCCGTATATCTGTACGTTTCACTATTAAAGAAGTGAAGTCCTTTCTTTTACGAATCAAAAGAAACGAACAATTTCATTTGCATGCTTCTTTTTTTATCCCTTTTACATGCACATCTACTTTAGTTTCTCTTCTTTATTCTTTAATTTCAGCACTTATTTCCAACCACAATAAATAATTAGACCTCGATTTCGATCAATTTTAAAATTAAACCTTAATTTCATTATGACCAAAAACCACAAATGTACAATATATACCATCAAAACTTAACATGATCATGCACTGTTACCATGGGAAATAGCATAGCTGGTAATTTTTTAAGAAATCAATAGCAAGGTTTCCGCTAGCCTTCATAGACCTTAAAGGTAATAAGATGACTAGGTATTTTCTTTTTGTTTCTGTCACTTAAAGTTCCCACACTCATATTACTAAAAAGATATAGCAAAAACAATCACGTCACAAAACAAATACGTGAAATGGTATATGCATGGATTACCTTGAAAATTAACATTAAAATTTAACATGTACTACAAAAGTTTTAGATAAATCATACAAATTGGAAAGGAATAGAATAAAAAACAAGTGCTTAGAACCTGTAGGGCCAAACCATAGCCACCGTTGACGTCTTGTTCGAAATAAAGTAACCGACTTATATTAATGAAACAGTAAGTTACTATATACATCTGACATAGTGCCACATAGAAGAGATGCATGCCCATAAGCAATGGTCATGCACACAAAAACACACAGAAGGAGAGAATCGAGAGGGAAGTGATGAGATGGAGGACATAATCAAGCACTTCATGCCCATAAGCATTGTTCTGATGAATATTAAGTGGAGGTTTTTTAGTAGGAATAATTAAGGAAGAGCCATTACCATTGGTGTTGTATTTGCACTGCTGGGTGAAAGACGATTGTGGTATGGTTGATTGGTTGGTTATTGTTTGGTTTGTTGATAGATTCATGACTTCAAGCTTGGTGACATTAGGAAAGAGCTTGTTCTGGATTCCATAGTATTGTTTGTGTAAGCGTAATCTTCTTCGAGAATTACCTTGGTAGCCCACTCTGGAGTGTGTGGAAATGTTTTTATGTCTCTGTATGAGTTTCCTGGTGTCGAGTTTTGTTCTGTCGATTGGATTTGTTTTGTTGGTTTTTACTTTTGAGCGTTTTGATGGCTGTAATGTTATGCTTTTTTTAGATGGCCAAGAGTGTAAATTTGTAGGGGGTGGGTTTCTTGTGCATCTGAGTTCTGTTTTTTTTTTGTTCGATGCGTTTGTTTTGTTCTCTTATGTAGTACTCTTTTCCTCCAATTAGATTAGGGAGATTTTTAATGAGGCTCATAAGTTGAACTTTGACTATTTATTTAATTTAATAAATTGTCCTTTGATGAGCAAAAAAAAAAAATAAGACCTTTCAGCAATTAATAATTTACAGATAGATACCTTGACTTTGCTTTGTGCGATTGAAGTTACGCTGACAACAATCCCAGCCTCAGCTTGCTCATCACTTAATGTTACACCAAACAAGTAGGCACATTGCTTGTCTACCTGCAGCAAAATGTATGAGAATTAGGGAAAGTGTAGGAAAGGAAATGGTGAATCGGTTAGAAAGACACAAAACACCTTTCCACTAACTGATGTTCCAATAGGAAGGAGTCGAACTGTGACGGTTCCATTTAGAGCTTCTTCAAGAACATTAGCTGAGACTGTAGTCTTGATGGGAACACCAAGCTTGCTAAAACATTTAAGAAGCAGGATAAAAGAAAGAATAAGTGGCTTAGTAAAAAGTAAATGCAGCATACAAGTAGCAATATTTAATGGATGTCTCATGCCTCACCTGAATGATGCTGCAAACATTGTATTAACAGTTCTTAGATTGGACAAATCAACCTCCATATCCATCGAATCTTAACCTGCCTTGTAAATTTGTTGAGAAAAGAGAGAAAGATTTAGGTTTTGGTTGCCATCGTAAAAGGAATATAAGGAAGAAATTGTGAACAAAGAGAAAAGAAAGAGTTGGAGGAAATGGATAAATCTTAAGTTAACAACATCATCAAAGAAATTTAAGAACCAAGATGGTGCTTTTGATTATTAATGCAGATAGATTCTTAAAACCTTAGATAGTGGCACAAGGTTGCACAACAATGTCCAATAGAATTAGATAGAAAAGAAGCAGAGTAGCAGGCAACACCAAGTAGCATGGGAACAAGAGGTGGTGATGTGACACAAGATAGCAAACGTAGGTTATAATGCAGACTTGTGTTGCAAAGTAGATAATCTGAAACAAGAAGAGAATGGGACCCTAAGGAAAAACTGATGGTTTTCTAGTTTCTACGGGTAAAATAAAACTAGAGGGAAGTTCAAAAGAAAATGAAAGCCAAATTCCCTAGTGGTGATCTGGAGAGAGAGAGATACTAGAGTAATATGCTGATCTATGGAGAGAGGAATGAGGATTTCCACCAAAAGTCAAAGCAAAGACGAATTTTATGTAAAGGATGTAGAGACCAGTTAGGCAATATTATAAATGTGGTTAAGGTGTGCAACTAAATGCTACACCTTAGCGCCAAACAACAAGGAATCTCAGACCTCATATACTTACATGGGACCATAAGGAAATCATGCATATTGGCCAACAAAAAAAAAGTGCAAGTTTTCTAAGATAAACTGGACCACTTTTCAAAGTTGATTACCTATTCTATATGTATATATATGCATGCAAATATATGCACACATATCACACCTTCCTTTACTCAAGCAAGTTGTCTTATTCACCCAGCACTTTAAGCAATATAATGGTTCTGACACCTAGACTGCGCCTTGTGCTCTTGACAAACTAAGTTAAATATGGAATGTTTTATACATGTTCTTCACATTGAGTAACCAGGACTCTTTCATAGGCAATTATTTCATGCCAAAAGATGTAAGAAAAAAATTCATTGAGTACCCAGACAACTACAAAATGTCAGAGATAACACCTCTCTTAACTATTTGCTTTTGTAGACAAGGTTTTCTTAGGATTTGGGTTTAGCAAACCAACTTTAAACCTAATCATAGAGTGAAAATAGACAAAATATATACTAGATAGTAGATAGCGTCAATAGGAACATTTCAAGTTTACGATTGAACCCAGCATTTCGCATAGTCAACTACACATACTATGATGAAAAATCATTTCTTCTTCCTTGAATCTATAGTTCATTTTCTACATGAATTTGTATCTTCTAATTTTACAACCGTAAAATAAAACCAATGTTCTCGTAGAACCTTTTCTAGTCATAGATACATTTTCTTCTGAATTGAAATTCATCATAAAATCTAAATTTAGAGCAATTGCACCAATCTCTTAGCATGAAACTCTTAGTATCCCAACAAGAAAGTGAGACTCAAATAAGGAATGCTTAAATCTGAGCTGAGCAGTAACATTGAATTAAGGAAAGTGAGACTCAAAGTGTCATATTGTCTTCTCTTTTCTGGGTCAGATAAAATGCTGTAAGAATATGCAACTTCCTTAAAATGCTCACAAGCCTCAAGATTGTTGGCATTCTTGTCAGGAAGATACATGCCAAAGAACAACAAACAAACAAACAAACAACAAAAATAAGGAAATTCTGGTAAAAGTTAAGCCAAACATCACAGCATTGGATTGTAATATTGAACTTAATAACTCAGTCATAGTTCTTGTAGGTCGGAGCTATAGTTTTATCATTTATAAATGGATAAGAATACCACAATACGATCTCGTTTGTGAGATTACATCCACATTTTTATATTCCATTAACTTATTTTAGTTTATTAGCTGCTTTATGGGTGCAATTATTATAATGTCAACAGCACATGCATGAAATGTTTGCAATAATAACTTACAATTTACAAATCACAGGATGCACTCAACTTGCAAATGACAACAGAATAAATGCCCACTGAACTTAATGAGACGAGGAACTGGCAGGGCTAAAGAAAGAATTGCTGGAAGCATAGCATCACACATTTGTTCCTCTAACAATCTGTCTCGGCTATATTTTCGTCAGCTATTCTACCACAGAACCTAAAGAGGCATCCTACAAGTGTAAGAACTTTTCGTAGAGGTTTCTAATTAAAATCTTTCTATCAACAAAATGGTGCAAATTTCCCCCACGAAATCATTAGCCTCATTGAGCTATAATTCAGTTTGCAACTAAAAGTTAAATACAAAATTTTTGTAATCGTCAACTTCTGAGTAGATTAAAATAGGCTCTAATATTAAAGCGACAAAAATTCATTAAGAAGAGCAACAAGAAAACAAAATCCTTACTTGAGAGCTAGTTTTCTATTGGCAGTTTTAATCTCCTGGTCAGTGGAATCCCTTGCAACACAAAACTTCACAAGGATCACGACGGATAGCCGGAGTTGATATCAAAACTATATTTTGAAAAATGGTTAATTTTATCAATAGGTGCTCAGACTATCATCTGAGGTTCAAATTAGTCCTAACCTGAAACCCATGTGATTTGAATTACACAAAAGGACAGTGATAAATCTATATTAATTTCTAAATATTTCAATTTGATTTAAACTTTAAAGGTTATATATTCAAATAAGGTCTAATCCCTGAGCAAACTCCACCGTCTAAGTTCGGCGAAAACCAGTACGATTCTTATGTGGATTCTGATCTCTGGGACATCCCTTCCGCCCTTCTCCACCCTCAAAAGGGTCATTTCCACTCTGGGATCGTTATCCTTGGCGCCCAGTCATCTCAGAACATTGATTTGACTAAATTTGATGTCCAACTTGCTCTTGATGAGGTAATCTTTTTTAAAAATATAAATAATTTCATTTTTCGAGTTTCTGTGATCTAATGGTGGTTAGTTGGTTATTTTTTAGGAGCTGGAAAAACTGGGTTTACGGGTTATTGGTGCAGGGGAGTTGAGTTTGTTTAAGTACGTCGAGGAAGCTGAGTTTGGACCTGGGTTTCCAGTTAATTCTGTTTTTGTTATGGGCAAATTGTTTGATGCAAATCACACTTCTGAGGTATGTTTATATTACTCGTGCTTCAAGCTAAATAAAGTCGGTTTACATTTTTGTAGACTAATTCTTCTACAGCCTCTATGCTGATTTCAAGAAACGCATAAGAAAAATAATTGGGTGAAAATATAAAGTGAAGATTTTTAATTCTTAGATTAGCTTGACCCGGGAAGAGATTCGGGAGCAGATATATAAATGATATTTTGTCCGGATTTCTAGCTTTTAGCAGCTTTTCAAATGCATTAGAAGGTGCTAGTTTGTTAAAGCTGTAAAATTGTTCAATTTAGGGGATTGCCAAAGCTGGGCAGGTTTTATCTTCAACGGTTACCAAAAGTTCATTTGAATGCCATTGTTCAAATTCTATGGTTTATTATTATTTTGTTGATTTTGTCACCAGAATATGCTTTAAAGCTCATGCAACTTATTGTTGGAAATACTCCGCTACATGTTCAGGGTTCTCTAAGTGGATGTCTACTCAAAGCTGTCTTAATTGGCTTCTGGAGGTGAAATCATGTAATGACCGTGTAGGGCCTTCTGTAGTTGTTGCTCTTATAAATGACTCATCGCAGTCTGCTGCACGGAAATTACATCCCTGCTTGTGCTATCAGGTTTGCTGTCTTTCGAGTGACTTTGGCATTGTGATCTATCAAAAGCATGCTGCATTAGTCATAAGCAAGAATGTGGTCTACTCATTAACAATTTCAGGGTGTTTATAATCAAAATTTATGTGGAAGTTTAACTTCTAACTTCTAAGGGCAATAGATTGATTCTTAATTCCTTAATATTAGAAATCCATCTCTTTATTTTCATGCTCTGGTGAAGTCTACTCCGAGAAAGTAAAGTTACAGGAGAGATGATTAGGCTGTGGTTCTTACTCCAAAATGAAAATATGAATATGAAAGGCCACTGCCTAGTTCTAGGAGATGGAAAATCTGTTGGCAAAGAAACTTTTATTTAAGTGTTACTTTTAAGATTGCAAATTTTTAAGCCTCTGATTTCCAGTTGATTAGCAGAGTTTTTCAAGAGTTTTAAGGCTTGCTTTCCTAGGCACCTACGTAGTTTTCAACTTAAAATACATAATCAAAATATGCAATATTGAAATTATTTTTAGATAAAGAAAGAAAACTAAAGAGCTTAAGGATTTGTTATATCAAAACAAAGATCAATACAAAGCTTATGAAGCTAATAACCTTTCCCTTCTTGATAAGACAAGATAAATTTGCTTGTGAAAACACTTGTTGAGTCATTTAAATGTTTTCAATAAAAGCTCCCCCTCAATAATATATTTTTGTGCAAATTTGCAAGAACAAGCGAGGACATTTTATACGATTAATTCCAATCACCAACATGTGATGGTTTGTTGCATTGGAAAAGAAGGCAATACTCCACCGCCTGGCGAAGCACCTCCTGTTTCTTCCATTGACACCATCTCTACTGGTACATAGTCGTCCTCTTTTGTTTCTGCCAACACCCCAGCGATCCTCGAATTTATTGTATTGTTGCATACCTATATGGATGAGTGCTTCTCTTCCGTGGATGCCTGTTTAGTTATAGTTTGGTTATTGTCTTGTGCATATTGAATATCTTATGAATTTCATATGTTTTAGATTGATATTCTCCCATTGATATTTTCAACTAGTAATATTATGCTTTACTTGCTTTCTGATATACAAAAAACGGGGTGAATAAAAGAAAATTTGTATATGCTCATATTGTCTATGTATTGATATGCTACACTTGATAAATTGATCATGCAAGTGTGCTTATTGTCATGTAATCTTCATCCTAGGTCCAAAAAGCTGCTGACTCTGCTATTTATGAATTTTAGGTGCTTCTTACTATTTATTCAAAAATGATGTATTTGGAACCATATTTCCTTGTTATTTCATGATGTTATACAATCAACTGAGGTTATTCATTACCATTTCCATGCCAACTGAGATTATTTCTTCTGAAATAACAAACTCTTAGTTTTATATTTATGTTTAAATTTCTTTTCTGGATATCCAAAAATGCAATCCTAATGCTACACTGCTCACACATGAAAATACCATGCGTTCACGGGAATGTCAGAATGGTGTTTACGTTCGAACTTTTATCATTTTATCAGTCTCAATAGCCTACCATGATGGAATTGCAAACAACATAGATTTTTTCCTGATACAGAGATTCCTTCTTATCAGTAATCAGGAACCGAAGGAGTAGAGAAGCAAGAATTTTGAAAGCTATAGAAAATGGAGCAGAAACACTGTTTGACATAGTTGCTAATGTGTATTCCGGGACAGTTTCTGGATTGCTGCTGCATCCAATGTCGGGCTACATGTGGATCATCTAGACCAGTAAAAGAAGTTACCAGAGGTATTTTTTAATCAGATTTTAGGATAAATTCGTTTTTGCTAAAGATTAGAACAAGATAAGCCCACTATCATGAATAAGCTCAAAGTAGGGAAAATGGAAAAAAGGAAATGTTTTTATTGGAAATAGAGAGGACAATTTTTTACAAAAATCAAGTTTTTTTCTCCTTGGTTGATGTTGGTGGAGGAGAAAGCAAGAATCTGAAAACCCAAGCAGCCAAAGTTGCCCCTGTCAAAGGACCTAACCAATATACATAATAAAGTTGCCATGAATTGTGCCACTTGTTTACATACGCCCACCCAAATGCATTGGCTGGGTTCAGGGATGGTCCAGTGTACTTAGCCCCTGTCCCAACACATCCCACGGTTGTCAACGAAGGTCCTTTCATGGTTTTCCTTAATTCCCTGGGAAGGATCCCCAGAATTGCCTTCACAGCAACCACTCCACCGGCGGCCTGCGCCGGAAAACGCACGGCCATCGAAAGGAGTGACATGTCTTTCTTGAGACCGGCGGCGTAGAAAGCGACGGAGGCAGTGGGATTGAAGTTGGCGCCGCCGAGAGCGCTGCCGATCAAGGTGAAGATAAACATCATGAGGCTGACCACGATTGTGGTGATGAAGAAGATGGCCAGAGGGAGGGTTTGAACGCCGAGGAAACCAGATATTTGGAGGGTGAAAACCCTGAGAAAGGGCATGCTGAAAATCCACATGGATGTTAAAAGAGCGTCCGCCATGGCTGACTTGATAACTCCCATCTTCTTGAGCTCTCTCTAGGGTTTGCACTTTGCCCTTTGATTTTTATGTTTTGCTGCAGTAACAAACAAATAACAATATACCAACTACTGATCTTTGGCTGAAGCAATTTCACGTGCTTCACCGGCCAAAATATTCCCCACGTTGTAAAACTTTTTAGGGAGTTTGATTTTCAGAATATGAGATTACCTTTAGATATAATATTATTATAATGTAATATTATTATGATAATATTATATTGTCTTGTTTAATTTATTTAATAGGAATGTAAAATTACAGTGTTTAGTTGGAAGAATATAAAATTATTTAGATGTATATTTTAATAAATTATCCTTGTGATATATTTTTTTTAACGTTAAAACTTTAATATTAATTTATAAATATTTGAATGAAAATTCATAATTTTAATCGTTATACTATTTAATTTTTGAGAAAAAAAATACATTTAATATATAATTAATATAAATTAGTAAATTAAATTTATATTTTGAAATAATCTTCAAAAGTATCATATTTATTTATATAAAATATAATATAATATGAAAAAAATAATATTATGATATTGAGTGGATGAAGATTTTTTTTCAATATATAAGATCCATTTTTAATAACTAAAAGTTAAATATTATTTTAAATAACTATGTTTTTATAGTAGTATTTTTTTCATCCCATAAAATTATAAATAGTAAATATATTGAATATTAAAAATATAAAAATATTTTAAATTCTCAAATTTATTAATATTTTAGTAAATTAAACTCTTTGTATATTATTATGTTTATAATTTTGAGTAAAACATAAAAAATAAGAATTGAGAATGATCATTATAAAAAGAATTCATTAGTCTAAGGGTATTCTTGTCCAAAGTGGTGAGAACTGTGTAACACCTAAGAATTTAGAGGTAATGACATTCTTATCATTTTAACTAAAAAATGCTACTATTGGAAAAAGAGTATTATCAAATAATAATCTTTTCCGTTAACCAAACGTGAGAATACAATTCCGAAAAAGGTTATTCGAACCAAACACACCATAAAGGTTAAATTTTATCAAGTTTGATTTTTTATTATATTAAATATATTATTAATAATAAACTGTTAAATTATATTTTAAAATTTATAAGTATTTGTTAATAATATGTGGTGATTATAATGTAGTATTTATTTAAAAAAAATTAAATTGTTTTTGCTATATGTTAAATATGTTAAATAAGCATATTGGTAAAATATGTTAAATTGTTTTGAATTAAATTAAAATATTTTAAATGAAAATTATTGATTGATTAGCAATTAATTTTTATTGACTAGAAATATCTACATGTGATAAAAAAAACATTGACATGAAATTATCACATGTAATTACGTAACGTAATATTATGTTTATAAAAGATTATTAATTAAATTAATTATAATTAATTAGAAGATTATTGATCTTGATATTTCATACAAGATGTAATATAATATATAACCAAAAATTTGGGATACACTTTGTCGAAATCGTCTTTCGGGTAGGCCCTGGAATTGGGCTTCGACTTGGATTAAATGAGTTAGAGTCGCCACCGACCATTTTAAAATGAATTTAGGTGGGTCGGACACTATCTTACCTGATATGCGTTGTACCAGAAACGTGTCGGGTTCGGTTACGGTCAAGGAAGGATTAACACCCTTGAACCGTCCTTTCGGTACCAATTAATTTATCGGTTGTCTTTAATTGCGAAAATTAAAAATTGAGATTTAAATTTAAAAACTCGATTCGAATTACTTACCTTTGATTAGTTGAAATTTCTCTAAAAAAGTGTCAAAAGTATAAGATTGTAAACATGAAAATAAATATGAGAAAAGAATAAAAAAATAATAGTATTAATAAAATAAATAAAAAAAAAGAATAAAAATAATATATATATATATATATATATATGTTAGGTAAAATAATAGTAATGATAATAAAAAAATTAAAAAAAGACACATAATTCAACATAGTAATGATAATAAAAAATTAAAAAATGAAAAAAAAAACACATAATTCAACATTCTCACCTAACCTAACAAACCACATTATTTAATAAAAAACAAGGAAGAATTCGGTGGAAAAAGGTAAGGAAGAAATTAAGGGGCCATCAAATATTAGGTCGAAACTGAACGTTCAGTGAACCGTTCATGAATTGTGCGGCGAGAAGTTTATTTATGTGCGTTTATTTATTAAATAAACGAACATGAACAAGATTTTGTGTTCGTTTAATTAAATGAACGAACATGAACATAGGTCTTGTTCATTCATTTACGTTCGTGAACGTTCAGTTATGTTCGTTCGGTTATGTTCGTTTATGTTCATTCATTTATGTTTAACCCAATCTTCTTAAATCAATTTTGGTGACCAATTTGTAAGTATCTTAAAAATATTAATTAATCTGATATTCTGATGACCAACTCCATAATTAATCCAATTTTATTTAGAGATTAAATCTAATATGTTAACCCGTGAGGCACCTCGCACCTATATTCATTTCCCCCATTTTTTCCCAAACCCTAGTGTTCACTAGAGAGTGGAGACGATCGCTGAAAGCTTCAAAACAAGTTATATTATAGTGCAATCTGAATTTTTACAGGTCTGTTTTCATCTCTTTCTCTGTTTTATTTGGATTAATAGTTGATATGTAAAGTTACTACAGGTATCTTCACATCTAAAACTCAAGAAAACATCATAATTCTTTCTAGAAATAAATGAGAAGATAAAGGTAACAATCGAAAGTATATGAGCATCAGTAAAGAGAAAAATATATAGAATTTGTCAGAAAACAAAACAAAAGTTTCTATGCAATTTTTGAAAAAGAGTGTAATAGTAGAAGTAATGAGATTTCCAAGAAGAACTCATTAATAAGTAGAAAATACACTTTGACAATGAACTTTTGTTTTTCATAGTTCTTGTGTCCTTTAGTTTGGAGTAGACTTTAGGTACGTTAAAATTTTAAATGGTGGTTTAGCAATAATATCAGTTACGATATGTAGCATCGAAGGGATTTCGGATCTATGTTATTGTCTTGTAGTCCAATTTGTACCGTTCGAAATCTTTATGTTGTTAAATTTTCTACTCTACTAACAGAAAGGACCATTATAAACAAACCTCACTAAAGTCTGACATTGATGTCACAAAACTTTTAGCCGACGAATTTATTAGAATAACGTAGTGGAAAATGATTGTTCATATGTAATCATGAACCACTAAGATAAATGTTATGGCGTTAAATTAAAGTCGTGTGAATCATTTAATATCTTTAAAAGATCGATCGAAATATTTGATAACTTCAAACATTTCATCACTGCTAATCAACTCTTACGCTATTTATCACTGTAGATTTGGTTTATTTGCATTGTCGACTATTTTTCATGAAAGAACAATGGAAGGTAGGGTCTCCAACGTTTATGTTTGTGTTCATTTATGTTCGTGTTTGTTTATGTTCATGTTCGTTTATTTATTAAATGAACGAACATGAACAAGTTTTATTCCTTAATAAACGAACATGAACAGAAAAAATTTGTTTGTTTATGTTCGTGTTCGTTAATTTATTAAATGAACGAACATGAACATAAGTCCGTTCGTGTGCGTTCGGTTAGTTTACAGGCCTATCAAATACCAATAATGAAGGTTAGTAATGTATATATATATATTATAATATATATATATTATATGTATATTAGGTAAAAAATATAATAATAATAAAATACTAAAGTAAAGTATATACATAATAAATAAATAGATAAATAAGAAAAAAATAAAATAAAAAATACATAATTATATAATAAATAAACTAATGAAAACATAATAATAAATAAAATAAAAAATATAATTAAACATATATACATATATAGAGAATTAAATTAAATTAAAAGAAATATTAAAGGGTCAATTTCGAAGGAAATCAAGGATAAAAAATTGATTTAGGGGGCCGTATTAAATCTTTTAAAAATATTGGTACCAAAAACAAAGTTTACCCCTTTTACAGCAGAAAAGCTCGGATCCTAATAGGCGGGTCGGGTCACGGCGCGGGTCACCAGGCCGGGTATGAGCTGTGTATAAAAGCCAACCTTTCTTTTTTACTTCTCACTTATTCTCTCAAAATCAGAAAACCCCCCCTTTTATAATTTTTTCTCGCCTGTTCTTCCTTGGGGAAGAACACAGGCCATGGTTTCCAGAAAATCGGCCCTCGGCCGCCCTGTGCCGCCTTACCGCCGCCGTTGATCGGCGCCTGCCGGTCATCGGCGGCAAAAATTATTTTTTTATTTTCGAAAAACTCTTCTCTTCCTCGGTTTAAAAATCAAAATGTTTTTTTTAAAACGACATCGGGATAACGTAAATCTGAAAAAATAATTTTTTAAAAAAAACAACCCCTTTTTCATCGGCTAAAAACCTTTCTTTTTGCTTTCTTTCGAATCAAAACACAACGAAGGGAGATAAAACCGACATGCAAAGGTACGATCTTTTACTTGTAGTTCTTTCTTTCGAAATAAGAGTGCTTCGAAAAACCACTGTTCTTGGCTACGGTTTACGTGTATTTCGTATAAAATTGTGTATTTCTCACTGTAAAAATCGCGTACAACCCATGTATAATCGTAGTATAATGGTGTGTAATCGTCTCCCTGCTAATATCGATATACATGTATTTATAATGAAAAAAACATATTATTTTAGAATCCTATTCAAAATAGACTCCTAATGCTATTTGGTTGCTTTTGGTGTTCATCTCCCTTGCGTGGCGTTGGTGATGGCCGAGAAAACTGACGGTAGACTCGGATTGTTGGAGGAGCGGCCTTGGATGGCTTCAGGAGAGAGGGATGCGGCGCTGGAAACAAAGTGAGGGTTAGGGTTTCAAAACCCTAACCGATTTGGGTTTACAAACGGGCCTCCGGATTGCTTGTTTTGTAAACGGGCTTGCTGTGTATTGGGCCCTGTAAACAAAAGAAAAAATCAGTTAATACCCATATGTAATATATGTGTAATCTTATAATATATAGTATAATATATTTATAACATGTTTATTAATACTATATATTATAATGAACCAATCTAATTA